CCCCAACCCCACCCCAACTGCCAGCGCCCCAACCCCACCCCCGAGGCCTCTTCCTCTCCCTTTTGCACCCCACAACCCCACCACAAGCCAAGCCTGTGTGATGGGGGGGCTTTCATCTCTTCAGCCTGGATCCTCTTTCCCTGGCCCGGCCTTGTCTTCTAGACCTCTTGCCCAATGTCACCCCGTAGAGTGGCCCAAGTCCCAGCCAGGCTCTACTGTGTCACCCATTCAACTATCTCGTTGTACTCCATCCATACTTGTGTATCTTCCTATGTACTTGTTTATGTGTCTGTCTCCTCCAGACTGTCAGCCCCATGAGGACTGCGACCCCATCTAACTCCCAGTGCCAAGAGACACTCTGTATGAGTCTGTTAAATTAATGAAGCAATAAATATGTGAATGCTGTACACATGGGAGCTGCGATGCCCTTGCCCTGAGGCTCTGGGTGGGGCAGCCCTCACCGACTATGGCAGCTGCTCAGAGAAGCCCCACGGGCTGCCAGCAGTCCCAGCAGGCCACTCAGGGAGCAGCTGTTTACCCACAGCCCAAGGTATGAACACATCTGGGTGGGAGGGGCCCTCAGCTGCAGCTGCAGCTTGGGGGTTTGCTTCTGTGGTCTTAAATTAGGTTGGAAGAGGGAGAGGTTAGACCCCAGAAAGAACTTCTGGAGGGGCCAGTGAGAGAGTGGGGGGCACTGAGGAAGCGTGCATGCCCAGGACCCTCCCTTAAGCCTAGGGTCCCTCCAGTTCAAGCCTTGCTGAGTGAATGGGGGCAAAAAAAGGTGGCACTGGGTGAGTGAGGTGCCACATTCAAAGGCAAGGGATGGCAGTGACCAATGTAGTAAACACATATGTCGAGGCACCAGGCTAGGTCCTGGGCGTGCAGCAATGAACAGGAGAAAGGTGGTCCCTCCCATCCTCATGGAGTCCACAGTCCCCTGGAGAAGAGAGATGCGGCGCTAAGAAAGCTCAGGACTGAGAAATTGCCCTGTCAGAGGTTGAGGAAGAGCCCCCACCTCAACTTGAGACTGAGGATGAGTGAAAACTGACCAGGGGAAGGTGGAAAAAAATATTTCAGGCAGAGGGAACAGCATGGACCAAGGTCCTGAGGTGGGAAAGAGCTCGATGTGGTCAAAGAACGAGAGGCAGGTCCCCGTGGCTGGAAGGGAGAGTGGTTCAGGACCAGACTGAGGAAGAAGGCAGAGGCTAGCCCAAGCCCAGAAGGGGGTGTGCTAGAACGGACACCTCCCTGGCTCTTTGAAGTCCCAGTAGTCCTGAGTAAGGAAACAGTGCAGGGCACCCGCATGGGATGTGCAGTGAGGAGGGCCCAGAGAGGTGGGCTCTGACCCAGCGCCTGGGGGCAGGCAGCCCTGGGCCGCCACCTCCCTCACCTCCATCTCCGTGACCTGCCGCTGAAGCTGTGCGCACCTCGTCTCCAGCTCCTCCTGCCGCTGCAGGGTCCCCTGGCCTTCAGGGAAAGATGGGGAAGGGTTCCACCGCCCCAGGACGGAGGCTGCCAGGCCACCTCTGGCCTCGACCAGAGCTCTGGCCTGAGTGTCATCTGGGGAAGCTGCTCCTTGAGGACTTGAGGGGTCCCCCGAGAACTGTCTCTTGGCCCCTCCCCCTGCCCTTGGGAGGGGACGCCCTGACTAACTCTCAGGAGACCACCCCCTCACCCCACCCCCAGAGCAAGGTTCCTGAGGGGCTGCATTTCTCTCACGCTTTCAGTGGCAGGCCCTGTGCCCAGTGCTGGGCTAGAGCCGCACTCAGGGGACTCCGCCCCACACAGAAGGGCACAGTCCTGGGTGTGTCACTGCTCCTCTGGGCTCCGCAGTCCAGACCCCACCACAGGACTCAGGTTGATGCTCTTGGAACCCTGATACCTAGGGGTTGCTGGCCCCAGGGAGGTGCAACAGGAGGGCCTCTTACCCTGGTGCTCCTGAAGGGTCTCCACCAATTCTTCCAGGGCCCGTATCTTCCGATCCTGCAGCAACAAGGCGGGAGAGGAGCAGGCCTGATGGTTCCCAGAGCCCAACGGAGCCCCTTCCAGACGGGACAAGCCAGGATTTTTGCCTGTGGGGGCACTGGGGAGACTGCAGCCCCTGCCCCACTTTGGCACAGCCACCGCTCCTGTACTTCAGGTGATCCCTGTGATTCCACTGAGGTGAGGGAAGGGTGAGGGGCACCCCCAAGTGCCCAGCACTCAGCAGCCACCACTGCCGCCCAGTCCAAGGTCTACGGGCCTTGCTCAGCTGTGAAGATCCTGAGCCTCTCTGCTCAGGTCACAGGGATCCAGATCGGTCCCAGGCAAGGATTGGCCCTCAGGCTGGGCAGTGTGGTGGGAGAGATGGTTCTAGAACCCATCCACCCTGGCCGATTGCAACAGTAGCCTCATTGGCCTTCCCAGCCCAGGCCCTTCCACCCCTCAGACAAGCCCCTGGCCCTCTCCCCACTGGGGTCCTACCTTGGACAGCATCTCGTCAGTCTGGGCCTTCATCTGCCGCTCCAGATCCTGCACCTTCCTGGTCAGGGTGGCCATCAGCTCCGAGTCGTGGAACACAGGGACTGCCAACCAGACAAAGCCTTAGAGCCCAGGCCTGGAGCTGAGGCTGAGGTATGGGGGAGGGGGGAGGTCCCGGGGAGGGGGATCGATCCCCAAGAGCCAAAATAAGAGTGATAACAACAGTTTCCAACTAGACCATGGGGACTGTCCTAAAACTTTTCATAATAAATCAGCTTTTCTGAGGAAAGGAACTACTCGGGAAATTGAGGCACAGAGATTCAGTAACGTGTCCCAGGTGTACGAGCACGTGGTACAACACATGAGTCACGTCACAGGTGACAGCACGTGAGGATCTCCCTGAGGCTGAGTGCAGAGAGAGGGGAAAACAGGCCGGGGGAATGTCACACGGAAAAGCTGAACTAGCAGGGAGCCAAGGGGGCCAGGCCTGGGAGGCAGGAGGACATCTGGGAGGCAGAGTCATGGAGGCCAAGAGCCTGGGGATGTTCTGAGAAGAGGGAACAGGGAACACTGTGGAATGTTTCCATGCAGGGAAGTGAGACAGGACAGACAAGTCCTTATTTGTGGCCTTGGTGGGAACAGATGGCTGGCTGGTTGTGGGCTGAGGAGTGACAGCAGGGAGAAGCGGAGAGGCTCGTGGATGACAGCTCTCTACCAGGAAGCTGCTATTGCAGTGTCCCCATCTGGGGTGATGGAGATGCTGGCTTTGCGACTGAATGGCTTTGGGGCCAGGCTCCTCCTGTCTCCTTTTCCACCTCAGCCCCCTCCCTACCTGTAGAGTCGGGGGGGGGGGGTTGGTGGAGGATTGTCTTATCGAATTCTCACCTCAACATGCTGACCTAGGTGTTCCCATCCCCACTTCACACAGGAAGAGATGGAGACAGAGACAGGAAGCTGCCTACCCAAGACAGCACAGCTAGTGGAAAATTCTAACCCCATCCCCAGCTCCTCTAGTCTCCCAGCGCTCCACACAACTCACCCTGCCCGCCCACGTCTCCCCTTCACCCAGGCCTGCTCAGTCCTGCCTCCTCTGGGAAGCCACCCCAGTGAGCCCCATCCCACTTTGGGCACCTCCATAATTGCAGCGTTGCCATAGCCCTTTGGAGGCATTGTGGGCCAGGCCAGGGGGGCTGCCTAGGGGACTCTGGGCCTGGCCCAGGGCCCTGCGGAAGCAGGAAGTGGATGGCTGGAGGCTGAACTGCACCCTCAGGCCCTTCATTCCTCTCGGACCCTGAATCATGGACCCACTGACGTCATACTTGATGGTGACTCCAGTCGGGTTAAGGGTGCCAGCCACAGCCTGGCCTGGGGCTTGGCCAGACCTCCTGAGCAAAGGGTGGGGCCCAAGTGTCAAACCAGGCTCTGGACAGGTCTGGTGTGCAGCCACATGGCCAGTCAGCCAGGAGTAGGAGTGCTGCCTCAGATTTAGCAGGCGAGAGCAGGTGCCATGCCTCCTAGGGACCCCCTTTCCCCGGGGCCCTCTCCAGGGACCCAGATCCCTTTGGGCCTCTGCTCTCACCTTGCCTACTCACAGGGGCACCTATGCCACCATAGCAGGAAGGGACAGAGGTCCTTTCTTCCGAGCCATGTGCGTCATTCAGCATGTCCACCTCATCTTCTGCAGACAGGGATGCCCAGGTCACTGCTCTGGGGCTGAGGCCCAGAGGAAATGGGCCTTGAGCCTTGGCCAAGATGAAGCAGCCTGTACTCTGTCCCCCAAGCATGTGAGGATAGAAAACTTGGGACACTGGGGAGCAAGAATCCAGCCAGAACAGGCCGCTTCTTGGAGTTCTCCTAGCCCAGCTCCTGGGGGGACCTGAGTGGCCAATGCCAGAACCACAGTGGAGGCAAGAGTGGGGTTGGGATGCAAAGGTCTGAGCCTGCAGGAGGCAGGGCGGCAAAGTGAGGACAGGGCTTCAGGGAGCAAAGGCTGTAGTGGGCTGGAGATGGCTGTCAGGGGAAGGCAGGCTGGGGTCTGGCCCCCTCATGGCCAACCCCACAGTGCATGGAGGGGTTCAAATATAGTGATGACATCTCCGCTAAGGATGTAAGGTCTTCTAATCTGGGAGCTGCAGGTAACACTGGAGTTGGCCAGCTACTTTGGCTGTCAGGGGGGTTCATCATGCCCTTTCTCTCCATCCGCCCAAGTGCAAGGACCCTCGGCAGGTGGGAGGTGAGGGGGACATGGGGCAGAGCCCACACTTACCACTTCCGTAGATTTTTATCCCTCGCCTCCTGGGAATGGGGCAGGAAGGAGAAGGAAGACAGACAAGTTAGGACCCCCTGGGTTGCCATCCGGGGGAGGCTCTGGCACCACGTCCTCAGCCAAGCCTGAAGAAGATGGCGCGAGGCCTCTGCTTCCTGAGGACATCTGCCCCAAATTCCATCCCAGCCAGGGGTGAGCCAAGGCGCAGGCCTCAGGGCGTCCGACTCGTCCCAGTGGAGGAGGACAGGAAACGAGCTGAAGGGCAGTGTTGGGCAGAAGATGACAAGAGTCTCCAGGCACAGCAGCGTGGCCCCAGCTCTGCCCTGACACGGCCGCAGGGCCCCAGGCCTGTCACCTAACCTCTCTGGGTCCCCTCGGCCATGACGTGAACGACTCAGAGTGGGGCTGAGAAGAGCAACATAAAAAACGCTTTGAAAAGATGACAGTGGTAGATGAAGAGGGTTCCTTTCCTGAGAGCCCAGCACATGGCCAGGCACAGAACAGGTGCGTCATCAGTGTTTGCAGAACTAATCCAGGAAACGAATAAACGGATGGATGCTGAGCCCCCACAGCCCACACCTCACTGGAGGGCACAGCCCAGTGTGAGCTTAGATGCAAGGAGAGCCTCCCAGAAGAAGTACGAGAAAGATAAGGATTTCAAGGAAAGATACATAACTTTTTACTGTTTTCCCCAAGATGCTAGGAGCCCATCTCCTAGTCCATGGGAGGGGCCAGGATGAGGGAGGGGCCTGGACACAAAGACCCCGCGAGGCCAGCTCCTTACCCAGGAGTCACAGGCTCTGACTGCAGAGGCACTCTCCGGGGCTTGCCAAGGGAGGCCAAAGGTGAGCTCATGGTTCTGCTTACAGATTCTAGCTGTCAGGAACTCCCTGAGAAGAAAGAAGGAAGTCAGCCCTTGAGGACAGTCCGTCAGGACCAGGGAATGACCTGAAACTTCCTCTTCTCTTGTTACTTTTCCCAGGAGGGAGCACCATCCAGGGAGCAGCACTGCTCACTTCTTCCCACTGCCCATGCAGAAGCTTCTAGAGGCAGCCTGGCCTCTGGATCCCTGTGTCTGATGTACACCTGCACCACTGGATATCCAGCTCTCTGCTCTGATCCTGGAGGCCTCTGGCCTAGCAGTGCTTGGGAAAGGGCGATGGGGTGCAGAGATGGGCTAGAAGACTGGGACTTCCCCAAACTTAGAGCCCGGGCACAAGACCACTCAGGAGGCCTGGACCTTTTGTCCATCTATCAAGGAGCTGGTCAACACAAAGCTCAGGTGTCCCCTCCCCTCCTTCCAGAACCCAAGTGCTACCTCTCTCAGAGTCAGAGAGGGGCAAACCAAACGCAGGATTCCACTAAGACACAGTCTGCACGGCAGGGAGAACAAGAACACAGGCTCTGGGTACGTTGTGCCATCCACCAGCGAAACCTGTGCCCCAGTTCCTTTAGTTTAAAGTGGAGATGGTAATAGAACCAGCCAGTTGGGGTTAACACACATAAAGCATCTACAGTGCTGCACTCAAAGAAGTACTTAAAAATACGACTCGTGGTTGTTGTTACTGGCACGTAGAGGGCACTCAGAAATGTTGGTTTCCCTTCCAACCCTCTTCTTTCTGGAAAGATGAATGAACACCAGGGATGGAATTAAAGGCCCCTACTCTATTCAGTGAATTGAGTAGCTAATATCTAGATGTTAGCTAATATTATGTGGCTAATATCTAGAAATTCTAGATTCAAATGACCTCCATCAGGGCCCAAATCAAGTCTTTTGTTCCACTTTGGAAATGTGTGGCACTGGCCTCCACCCTGCCCCTGAATCTACTCAGTAAAGGCAGCCTCCTCAGTCTTCACTCTGGAGTTTGGGACTCATGCCCCGCCCCCTTCTCAGCGGTGCCCTCCAAGGACCAAGTTAGAGTTTCCTCACCTCCATCATCCAGCCTCCCAAATCTGCTCCCAGTTTGCTCAGCTTCTGCCCAATTGTCCAAGCATCCTCAAGGTTTGTGTGGCCAAATGTGACAGGCCTTGTGGGGTCCCTTCACTAGTCTCCACAGCTGCCAGAGGGATCTTCTTAAACACAAAGCTGTCATATCACTTGCCTGCTAAAAACTCCAAATGGCTCCTTCTCATTCACAGAAAAAATTCAAAATTCCTTAACATGGATGATCTGGTCCCTGCCTGTGTCTCTGGACCTCACCCTCCATCACCCAGAGCCCCCAACCCTGCCCTACACTTAAGCCACTCTGAACGGTCAGCCTTGAAATGCACCAGGCCTTTGCACACATATCTCCCCAGGCCTGAACCCCCCCTCACTGGAATGCTCTCTCCACTCTGACTCACAGCTTTCCCTTGGCTGGCTAACTCCTTTTCTCTTTTCAGTTTGATTTTATTTGTTCTTTAGTTATATTTTAACTTTTTACTTTAAAATTATTATAGATTCATGGGAAATTAGGACAACAGTAGAGGGGTCTTATGTACCCATCACCCAGTTTCCCCCAATAGTCACATTTTACATAGCAATATCAAAATCAGGCAATTGACACTGTACAATTTGTTTCTCATTCATTCTATGACGTTTCATCCCCTGTATAGATTCTGTGTGACCACAACTGCAATCAAGGTAAGTACAAAACTATTCCATCACCACAAAGATCTCCCTCATGCTACTCCTTTAGTCACATCCATCTTGCTCCCCACCGCCATCCCTAACCCCTAGCAACCACTACTGTCTTTCATCTCTATGATTTTCTTACTTCAAGAATGTTATATAAATGGAATCAAATAGCAAGTGATTTTTTTAAAAAAAAAAGCTTTATCAAAATATAATTCACATACTTAACTCTTTTAAAGTATACTGTTCACTGGTCCTTAGTGTATTCAGACTTATGAAACCATCATCACAATCAATTTTGAAACATTTTTATCACACTAAAAAGCCCCAGGCACTGCACCTTTTGTGGCTGAAACTGCCCTGTGTGAACTCCCACCAGACCTGATTATCCCTCCCTTCTCCAAATTCTTATAACCATAATCACCTCTCAAAAAGAAACTGGTCAAAAAAGACAGACATTAACAAGCATTGGTGAGGATGAGGGGACACTGGAAATTTTGCTGGAATGTAAAATGGTGCAGCTGCTGTGGAACAGTCTGGCAGTTCCTCTAAAGATTAAACAGTTATGGCCCAGCAATTCCACTCCTAGGTATATACCCAAGAGAAATGAAAACTTAAATCCACACAAAAATTTGTATAACTGTTCATAGCAGCATTATTCATAATAGCCAAAAAGTGGAAACAACCCAAATATTCATCAACCAATGAATGAATAAACACATGTAGTATATCCTTACAACAGAATCTTGGCAACAAAAAAAGAAATGAAATACATGCTACAATGTGAATGGACCTTGCGAACATTATGCTAAGGGGAAGAAATCAGTCACAAAAGACCACCAATTGTTATGATTCCATTTATATGAAATGTCCAGAATGGGTAAATCTATAGAGACAAAGTAGATTTGTGGTTGCCTAGGGTTGGAGGAGTTAGGAGGAGATGGGGGGTGGGGGTTGTGGACAGCTAAAGGATACAGGGTTACCTTTTGAGCTGACGAAAATGTTCTAAAATTGTGGCGATGCCTGCAGTAACTCTATGAATATACTAAAAACAACTAAAATTTACATTGTAAAGGTGTGAAATATGTAGTATGTGACTTACATTTATCATATGAAAAAAAAGGACCTGGTCTCCAAAACAAACCTAACATCTTCCCTCAAAAAAAGCTCCTCCCACGTCCCCCTTCTTAATGGGAGCCCATCATCCAAACACAGTTTTCCCTCCTTTCCCTCTTACTTCCATCAGTTAAACTCTGCACGTCTCACGCACATAGCTCCTGCTTTCCATGGGCACTGTTGGCCATCCTAGCAGGGCTCTCACTGCCCTTCTTTGTGGCTGTCACAACGGCCCAAAACTGATTTACTTCCCTGCTTCTCACTCCAGGCCAATCCAACACACTATCTCCAGACCAGTTTTCCCATGGATTACAGAAGACCCCTAAGAACGACTGTGTTTTCCCATCAGCCCAGTGACTCCTGAGAGCGGGGTTGCTTCCCCTTCCCTCAGACTGGAGACCCTGAGGACAAAGCCCCGTCCACTCCCTTCACTTTGGGGGCTTCCGGGATGGGCTGTGCCTCCCGCCTCAGGCAGGTGCCATAAAGGTTGGCCTGTCTGCCCCTTCAGACTCAGGCTTTGAGGGGAAAGCTCTGTCGTACTCCGCTACATCTTTGGGACCCAAATTCATCCCCCAACAGGCCCCACTGCTCTCCAGCACCGACACGAACCAGCCGGCTGCACGCCTTCACTCTCTAAATCTGCTGAAAGCGCTCAAGGCGCGAATCCCACCACCATCCAGCCCGGCCCTGGGAGCCGCGTCACTGCTCCCGCCTCCACACACAGCCATGGTAGGCAGGGGCCTGAATCCGCTCCCAGGACGCGGGGAACCTGTAGGAGAGCCGGGCTACGGGGCTGACGAGCCCTCGGGGCTTTCGCGGCTAAAGCCCTAGCCCGCGTAGGGGCTTCTAAGAGCAGAAACGTCTGGGGCTGAGACTCACCGCGCAGGGCCGCCGAGCTGCCTGCAGCGCCGCCATCTTGTTGTCACGCGGTTTCCCAGGCGACCAGGGCCCGTGCGCTTCTCATTGGCTAATTCGAGAGGGCCTCTGAGCAACCAGCAAGCAGTGGAGGCGGGTACAGCCGCCTGTGCTCAAATTCTATTGGCCCACGGAGTCTAAACTCTTCGCGGGATACCAAAAATCCCAGAATCCACCGCTCTGAGCGGACTCCAGGTGTGGGGAAAGCGGAGGACCTGTCGTACCACTGGGAGGCAGAGAAAGCGGAGAGCGTGGGGTTAATTAGATTCATGAAGCTGCTGGAAGTCTCTGGACCTGAATGTATAATCGCGACAATGCCCCTGTTTTGCTAAATTGATTTTGGGAGAAATTGCATTTATCCCTCTGAGCCTCTTCCCATCTGATCAATACAGTACTTTGAATGAGTTCTTTTGAGCATGAATTGAAATGATGTAGGTACTTTAATAAATTTTTTTCTTTTTGTTTTTTATTGAAGTGTAGCGGATTTACATTGTTAGTTTCAGCTGTACAGCAAAGCGATTCAGTTACACATACTTTTTTTGTTGTTGTTCAGAATCTTTTCCAGTGTTTCTTAAATTTGAATTTCTCTGCTAAATTCTTGACCAGCTGGCGCTGGCACCCAGCAGGACCCTGAGGGTGGTGAGGCACCCAACCCCTGCCTCTTGTTTATGGTTAAAGCTGAAGACTCTCAGGCCTCCCTGAGTCACAAAAGAGCATGCTCAAGCAGTTGATGATTAGGCTGTTATTTTACAGATACTGTAACTACTACCATGTAGGCAGCTTTTGGCAAGAAAGAGCTCTCTGCAGAAGGCCCCTTGGTCTTGTGACTAACCTTAAAATAGGCACCCCCCACCATGCCTTTCTTTTGATCACACAATATTGCCTAACCTGTTAGTTCTTACCTAGATCAGAGAAGTAGAAATGGAGAATAAGTAATCAACAGATGACCAGATCACTTCCTCAACTTCCCCTTCGGTAATCTCACAAATTCTGTGAACAAGATAGCATCTAAAGAAAATTCACAGAGAATTGACAGTCATTCATACAACAGGGGATGGCCACTCCAACCACACGTTGTCTGGAGGGGTGGTGCCGACTCTGACCCCTGTCTCAATGATTACTTCCCTTATTCCCTTTAAAACTTCCATGGCTGAGCAGAATCTTCAAAGATGGTCCTTGAGGACACAAGCCCATCATCTCGCTGAATTGTCACATTCTGATTAGAAGCAATTTTCCTTTCTATCAACATTGCCTCTTTTGCTTATTGATTCAAAGAGCAGCAAGCAGCTGGCCCACGTTTGATAACAGCGCTCTGAAGGGACGCTCAAATTCTATTTCCTCTGTGTAAAAAGTCTTCAAATGAGACTCGCCCTGCTTTTGGATAAGATGTTTCCCCTTCTGAGCCTCACCCGAAAAAGTAAGGTGTTGGATTAGAGCAACTAGAGGTAGTTAAGAGCATGCACTTTGGCCTCAAGAGTTCTGGCTCCTGACTTGTGTGTCTTTGGGCAAGTTATTCACCTTAATTTCTCCTTCTGTAAAATGGGGATAATACCCATGCCGCTGGGTTGCTATGAGAATTAAATGCAATAATGCATACAGGGTACCTATTACAATACCCATACAGAGTAAGTTTTCAAAACATTTCCTGCTTTTAACTACCATTTGCATTGTCTCACAACCTTCCGGCTGTGGTGGGCTGGGACTCTGACTTCTGGCAACCAATTCCTTATGCCTTGGCTGAACCACCAAAGCCCTTTCTCTGCAGGTCTCAGACTGCATTTTTTACTATTTTCCTTTTGCCTTTAATCTACTGCATTTAGGGGTGAGCAGACTCCTTAAAGTATTCTTTACACACCAATTGGAGACTGAAGGAAGCTACCAATTGATGAGTATCTTCCAAGTGCCAGATGCCAACATTATAAGCTTTACAGAAGAGAAAACTGAAGCTCAGAGAAGTAAAGTGACTTGCTCAAGGCTATCGGGGCAGAAAGTAGTAGAAGTGAATTCAAACCCAGAACTGTCTGCCTCCAGAATCTGTGCTCTTTCTAGAAGCTCCCACTTGAGTAAAACAGGCAGGCAAAGATAAAGCAAAGGCGCAGGTGTTATAGGCCCACGGCCAAGGGAAGGGTTCAGGTGGAAAGTATGACTGGAAGTTGCAGGTAGGGGAGCTCTCTTGCCACTGAGCTGCTCCCAGAAATTTCTCTGAGGCTTGAGATATATAAGATGAGAAAGTCTGAGGTCACGCTGGGGCCAAGTGGTTTTGGGGGGGTTGGAGACATAGTCAGGGGATTAGCAACCTTATACTGTCAGTTTGCAAATGTTCCTTCTGTTCTTGAAGGTAAAGCAAGGCCCAACAGCATGGGAGGCGGGGGCTCTGGCCTCATGGGCCCTGCTGTGTTCTGCCCACTGCCTCCCACCTCAGCAAGACTGGGACATGAATTGGCATTTACCCAAGCATTAGGACTTACAACATACGTCCCTCCTACCCACGGCTGGAAGCCTGGCCTGAGATTCTGCAAGGAGGCAGGCTCAGCAAATAGCTAGTTCCTGTGAGGGAGGTGGGATCCCTCTAACCCAGCAGGCAGTTCATTATTTGTTTAGTAACACTTATTGGGAGAAGTCAGAGCCTTATTACAAAAGTATACATTGTCATCGTAGAAATCTGGAAAATAATAATAGCCATCATTTATTGAGAATGTATTAGGAGCCAGCATGACTTGACAAGTCTATGGGGCTGGGCTCTGACACTTCCTAGCTGGCTGTTCCTGTTCCAGCTATTCCACTGAGGCTCGGTTTCCGTATCTGGAAAATAGAGATACAAATAGAACCCACCTGGTAGAGTTATTGTGCAAATCGAATTTCTCATAACATTGTCGTATTACTGTTTTTAAAAGGTATTTTCCTAAAAAAAGTTATAAAAGTGAAACAAGAGCCTAAGCTAACCTAATAGCTATTTTTCTGACATATTTTTCTATGTCCCATCTTAGATGGTTCTGGAAATCTTTCCAAGATCTCCATGCTCACGTACGAGATGAGTGTTGGAAGGACATTGAAGAAGAGTCTGTCCAGCTTCCAAGCTCGCCCAGGATTCCCTCCGGACTTCTGGGGGGTGGGAGCCACTTGGCTTCTTCTGGATTCCATCCTGGGGTGGATGTTCACTGCCTGACAATGCTGGAAAGGCCCTGAAGTGGGAGGAGGGAGGTCCTGAACAACAGGAGGGAGCCTCTTTCTGGGCCTGTTTTCCCACTTGTGGGATGAGGACGTAGACCCCAGCCCTGGAGTAAGAGGGTTCTGGAGGTCTGCATTCTTGAGAATGGACAGAGTCCGCTTTGCTTATAGGTCATTTCCTGAAGGACCCTTATCAGTCCTGACTCTTTGAGAAAAAAGACTTTATCAGGTTTTAGCAGCTCAGGAGAGAGAGGTAAATAATGGAGAAAGAGGTCACCAAGTCCAGGCATTCCTTCAGAGTAAAAATCTGCTCTCTCTCCCACCTCCCTCCTCTCCACCCACATCACAGGTGCTTTGGGTCAAGCCGTCTCCATGTCCTGTAGACACTGAGGATCTTCATATTCTGTGTCCTGCCCCTCACCCTTCTCAGTGTCCCAGAAACTCTCATGCTCTCTCTTATGTTCAGGCCTCTCCTTCCAATGGGAACATCCTCCTTTAGCCTTTTCCCCTGGGAAAATCCCCCTCAATCCCTCAAGAACTAGTTCAAATGTCCTCTCTTCCATGAATATCCCGACTCCCCGCAAGTGGAATTACCCTCTCTACATTCTAACAGCCCTGCTGCCAGTATAGTATTTCCTTTTTCAGTTTTTGTGACTTTTTCAGTATTTGGTCCCCTCTGGGACTATGAACTCCTCAAGGGAAGGGATCCTCACTCATTCAACTTACCTGACACACAGTAGGTATCAATAAACTGTCTGAAACGAGTGGATGGACAGATGGGCAAATGATGAAAACTTCCCCTGGGGTGCTCTGTGGTACTCTTGGATCACAACCGTCTCTCAATGCAAATGAAAGCTACAGGGCAGATCATCCTGTGGTACGTGCTGCAACCCCCTATCTCTCCTCCCACCCCTGAGGTGCTGCATCCCGTCACTGAGCTCAAGCACATACTGACCACTTGCCCACCGTGGGGCTGTGCTCGGCCCTGGGAACAGTCATTAAAGAACACTGTGAAACCAGGATGGGGAGTGGACTGGGGGTTTTACACACCCAGGCCCCTCTTGTTCTGCAGGTCTCAACACAAACCTTTCCTTCAAGGGGTCTTCCCTCAACACTAACCTACAATATGTCCTCCTCCCATTTCTCTTTTCTTATGCGACCCTTTTGACTTCCTCCTAGCATTTATTGAAATCTTAAATTATCATTATTTTGTATGTTTTCCCCCATTCAAATGTCAGCTCCTTAAGAGGAGGAACTATGCTCATTTTGTCACTTCTGTCTCCCCCAGTGTGTGCAATAACTGACACACAGCGGACACTTAATCTATTATGCTATCATGTTTTCTTGTTATCTCCCACTTCACTAATTAGCCCTTCGTTTGTGTCTGATCTGATGTTAAACCTATCCACTGAGTTCTCAATTTCTATTATTGTATTTTTAAGTTCTAGAATTTCCATTTGGTTCTTTTCTATAATTTCCAGACTACACATTGTTATTTGAAAGTTTGGTTGATAATTCCATTATCCAGCTCTTCTGTGCAACTGTTTCTATCACCTGTTGCTTCTCTTGTTGTTGTTGTTTTTTGGGTTTTTTGTTTGTTTGTTTGTTTGTTTTGATCAGGTTGTCTTCCATTTCTGTTAGAGTTGGGCTATTGTTTCCTGTTCACTCTTACCCCCCACATATAAACTTTCATGGTCCCCCCCCAAAGCCTATGGAGGGGGGCAGTTTATCAAGTTTCCCCTTTCTTAGCAGGTCTTAAGTTACAGTTTTTCTCCCCAGTTCCGTACATTTGTAGAAAGCTGTGCTCAGTTTCTAAGCTGTCTTTTCTGAAAGTGGCAAATACTTTTAGGGGAAAAGCAGCCCCAAAG